AATTACTGAGAGGTTTTCGAGGTAGTATATTCACTAGTTTTTTGGCTGACATTGTTTCAAATAAAGGACGACCCCCTTTTTAAAGGGCTTTAAATATAATCCTCTACCATTTTTTCCGAGAGATATGGCCTTCATGGTTTTATTGTGCCGATTAGTTTCTACTAACTGCTCCCTATTTGCTTTTGCCGTATTTACTGCTTTGGAAATACCAGACGCTGCCCCAGCTAAAGTTCCCAGCGCAGATAATCCAGCAAAAGTAGGGATTAGTGGTAAAAATCCACCTGTTTTCGGTATTGCTATAATGCAAGGAATACTAATTTTTCTTTTACCCCCAGCTGCTTTGACATATTTTCGAGCCGCCTTTAGAGAAGATGTAGCATTTTTCCAGTAATTTGTTCACCTCCAAACGTCTTTAACGCCCCTCGAATCTTATTGACAATTCCAGAGCCGAAAGCTACTCGTTTTTTACTGTTTGTTCTTCGGCGCCTTTTTCTAGCCCTTAATTTATGTCCCATACCGAAAGTTTATTATGATACACCGGCTTTGACTCCAAGTCACTTTCTCGTGCTTGAACTCCTCCCCTGCGCCTAGTCACAGGCATTCTGATTTAATGTAGTTGGCAACGTCACCAAGAGGTGCTTCTCTTATATCGGCCGGTGTTAACCGATACTCTCACACAAATTTTCTAATAAATGAAAGCGTCGAACAATTGTAGAGGATATGCTCGATGGTGTCATCTTCTTGTTTGCACCCTCTGCAGAGTGCGGATTCTGACAGCCCCATGATATGGAGATGCTTCCTTGCTTGGCAATGACCAGTCAAAATGCCTATGAGTAGGCGCAGATTCTGTCTAGTTATAGTGAAGTTTTTGTTTGCTGCAGTATTGTTAGGATAACTTAAAAGCTCCCTGGCAACTGTTTCTTGTTTCATCCCATCTTTCCTTGAATTTCACAAGGGAATGTTTTTTGATTGGGTCTGTCACTGTCGATTTTGTCAGGCCAATAGAAGGGCCAGGTCCAAAAAGTATTTAGTTGGCTGCTTTCTGGGCTAGTGAATCAGAAAGGGTTACCTTTCGATGTGGCGTGACCTTTAATCCGTCTTAAGGTGACCACGTTGTTGATGGATACTTCGGCCAAAGCTTCGTGATATTTTAGTACTAACCCTAAATAAATTCGTGGTCTGTTCAGGGTGGGTAGTGCTTGTCTGCTATCTGTATAGATGAGCGTGTTCCTTCCAGTAATATTGTTTCTGGTTATTTCTTTTGCTGCTATAAGAATCCCCGTTAGCTCTGTTTGAACTACACTGGCATTATTACTCACAGCCCATTTTATGTTTAGGTTTAAGAATCTGGAGTATATTCCACATCCTGAGCCTTGTTTTGTTTTAGAACCGTCGGTGTAGATAAGAATCGTACCTGCCACTTTCGGCTCTTCTATTTGTTCTATTATAACTTTATATGGCTTATGAAAGATATATTTCGGTGAGATGGAGTCCATGTTCACTTGAAGCAGTGGGAACGTATCCAGCGCCTCCTGCCAAAAGTGACATCTCACCTCACCAGATCCTACATCAGGTTCTATTCCGACCGTGCGGAGGCGTGTCATTATCGTCAGAGCAACCTCCTTGATGTCAATATCAAGGGAAGTGAGGCTAAGAATGACTTCCATCGCTCTAGTCGGTGTTGTTTTCATAACTCCTGTTATGTTGAGACATGCTGTTCTTTGAATTTGTTCTAGTTTACGGATAGCTGTTAATTGTTTTTGGTACCCAGACAACTGCACCGTATGTTAGCATAGGTCTTATGATAGCCGTGTAACGGGGTTATGATGGACAAGTAATGTTATTTTTAACAGACACGTTATTTGTGAACAGGTTGTAATTTCTGTGTGTTTATAAAATAACAGACCTGTTAAAAATAACACAAGTTGTCAATAATAACCCCCTAAGTCCCTGCGACGACTCTGGGGGAGAAGCCCCAGGTGCGCTCCACGGTTCGGTGGCATTATTCATAAACAATGTACGCTCTTTTTACTGGACCAATTTGTAATATATTTATTATTTTTAGGTTAACTTATTTTTTTGGGAACATTAAATGAAATGAATGGTGTATTGCCGTTTTCTTTAATTTATATTAAAATAATGGCATAATATCAAAGGGTCACTCTATATGCCTTTAATTTTGTTTTAATCATGAATTTTATATTCTAAGTTTTTTCCTATGTTAACCGTCCGCAAGTACTCTGGCCGCTTCCAGTCAGTGCCAATTTAGTGTTCAACACATGCAAATCATAAACTAATACGCGGTCTTTGCAGACTCATTAACGGATCAAACGTAATCACGGGGGTCACTTGTGACCTGACATATTTTCAAAGGACTATTACTGTTCCCGGCCGGGAATCATCCAAGGAAGCGAATTTGGGATTTACCATTTTATTTTTACAAGGCAGGGCTTAGAAGTTAGCGACAATCCATTTTTTCTCTCTTGTGTTACTTTACATAACAATCCACGCAACACTTATCTTTAGTGACTTTATTTATACAATCATTGAAATAATTAAATGCGTCCAGATCTTCCAGATTTCCAAGATTTCCAAGATTTTCAAGATTTTCAAGATTTCCAAGATTTCCAAGATTTCCAAGATTTCCAAGATTTTCCAGATTTTACAGATTTTACAGATTTCCCAAATTTCCCAGATTTCCCAGATTTCCCAGATTTCCCAGATTTTCCTGATTTCTGATTTCCCAGATTTTCCAGATTTCCCAGATTTCCCAGATTTCCCAGATTTCCCAGATTTCCCAGATTTCCCAGATTTCCCAGATTTCCCAGATTTCCCAGATTTCCCACATTTCCCAGATTTCCCAGATCTCCCAGATCTCCCAGATCTCCCAGATCTCCCAGATCTCCCAGATATCCCAGATCTCCCAGATCTCCCAGATCTCCCAGATCTCCCAGATCTCCCAGATCTACCAGATCTCCCACATCTCCCAAATCTCCCAGATCTCCCAGATTTCCCTATACCATTGGTTAATTCCCATTTTGATCTATGAAAACTCTGTTGAGTATCGGAAAATATTTCTCGATATTTTAATTTTATTGGTTCTGAAATTTCATTTAAGAAACTAATATGTGTTTTTACTTGGCTTCTGAATGTCAACATACGCGGATATACTTTAAGAATTTCGTAAGGTCCTTTAATTTTATTACTAAATTTATTCGTTATTTGTGATTCTTTTACACATACTTTGTCACCGGTGTTCTATTCACGTAAAGGTAAGGAAAAATATTTTTATCGAAACGTATTTTCACTTTTTGTCTGGAATTTTCAATTCTTTCGCGTGCTGTTTGGTAATAATAGGAAATTTTGTTATTAAGGTCTTTATTCTTTGTATTATTGTAACACATTACTGCATATGGTAATATCGTGAGGGGGTGTTCATCCGGGTTTTCAGTCTTATGAACTCTTATCATTTCCATAAGGGTGGCGTGGAATCGTTCCAACGAACCATTAGACTGAGGATGATTGACATTAAGTATGTCAATTTAATGTCATACAAGGAACATAAATCTTTGAGTAAAGCATTATCGAACTCTCTACCTGAATCGCAATGGATTCAAAGTGGAGTCACGTACTGTACTGTAAAAGTAAAAGTCTATTAACTACCGATTTGGCAGTTTTGTCTTCGATAGGGTACGCTTGTGTAAATTTGGTGAGTTCGTCTCTTATTCTCAAGGCTTAAAATTTTGCGAGGATCTTTAACAAATCGATATTTATTCTTTCGAATGGGGATTTTGGTGTCTCGGTAATTACGAGTGGATTACTTAAAGTTTTCCTACATACTTTAACTTTTTGACAGATTTTGCATTTTTTTTTATAAAATCTTTAACTTGTTTGGTTAATCCGTCCCCAATTATATTTTGCTTTTATACGCCGTATTGTTTCGTGTATACCTATGTGAAGGTTTGCTTTCCTGTGTAGTAATTATCAATTATCACCGGTATTTCGTCCAAATTAGGGGTTTTAATAATATTTTAGCAAACTTTTATTTTGATACCTTTCTCTTAGAAATTAACTTAAAACATTTCTAATATAGGCAATTCTAAATTATTTTAATATTACGAACGTTTTGGTCATGTCCAATTCGTTCTTGTTTTTTGTAAATTGCTGAAAAAAGGTGTTCGATGACTAAATTTGGATGGAACGGTAAAACTACCACATATTATTTACGATCTTTAACGGTTTTACTACTAAAAATATTAAATTTGTTATATTGAAAGTCTGGTTCCTCCTCTAATAAATCGTCTATTATTTTATTGTGAAGGTCACATAGATTATTTTGCCAAGAAAATGTATTTGTATATTTATTAGCTTTGTCCAAAATTTAATTATTTACAAATTATATTTTAGAATAATCAATGATTTAGTTTTATAAGATTATATAAAGGTTCAGAATTCTGTTATAGTTTCTTCTAAAAGTTCATTTGATATTGTACTTGTTTTAATACTAAAAGGATCGATGATATATGAGACATCAGGAGGATCTTCCTCGATTTTTTCGATAGGAGGGTCTTTATCTGTTTCTACGTTATTCGTGTCATTAATATAATGAATTTGAGTTTATAATTTAGAACATTAATCAAAATGATTAGTTTTGATCTTTTAAAGCGCGTCTGCGCTTTTATTTATTTTACCTGGTTTGTAAATGATTTTGTAATCATATTCCTCGAGTTTCAAGCGCCAGCGAGCGAGTCCAAGTTAATGGTCTATGATCGGGTACTTATTTAAATTTTCTACCAAACAAATAGAGACGAATATGTTTTGATTGTAGAATATTTAGTTTCTGCAGCGCACAAGGACCGTAATGCAAAGGCGATTAGAAGATCCTTGTCAATTGGTCCCTGTGACAGGATATTACCTATAGAATATGCACTGGCATCTATATATATATAAAATATAGGGATATATAAGTTTTTTTCGAGAGAAGAGAGGCAATTAGAGTTAAATTTAGTAATAATAACTTATATATTTATCAAGATTTTATGGTTTACAAAATTATTAAAATTTAATTAATAAATCAAGCCAAGACTGGGTATGCATTGTAAAGGCCAATACCACACATCTTTTTATTTCTGGCCACTCTCAAGTAACCGTTCATACCCCAGTCCTCACCCCATGAGTTTTTAACGTCCCAGTATTGTGTGCCGTTTTCGGTTCCGTATGCTACAACAAGAACACCATGGTCTAATAAGTCTCTATCGTTGTAGCACGTGGTTTTATCGAAGATACCATCATTGTATAATTGGAAGGGATCAGCGTATATGGCTATAGAGACCGGTCCAACGGTACCTGAAAGAGAAATAATATTGATATAAAAAAATGGAGCAAATAATTCAAATAAACAATCAGGAACTAAGAATGATACATACTGAAGATATTATGATAAATAGAGTTGATAGAAGGAGATTATTATAAGAAGGTTATCTCAATTAAGAGATATTCGTTCAAAAAGCATAAATATGAAAGCCAGCTGAAAGACAAAAATGACTGGTTTTGCAAATATTAATATAAGATTCGAAAGACACATAACGTAATGTAAGGAGTTTTATAGATGCATTTTAATAGCTTACTTAAACCTCTACAAATATTAATTATGTATACAACGAATAGAGATGTAGACGAAAGACAAATAAAACATATTGGCAAAATAGCAAGCTGATGTTGTAAAAAACGTATAAATTATTTGGCTCAAGATAGCCGAAAATAGAAGAAACAGAAAGCAAATACCTTATTTTTAGTACAATTCAAATCGAGTTACGAAGAAGGAAAATCACCACATTAAGAATATTAATACAACCAATTATGAAGAATGCTCACTCACCAACAGCATCCCTAAGGGCAGATTCGGTAGCTTCAACAGATACGCCTTCCTTAACTTGAACGACAGAACCGCTTTTGGCTCTGCATTTTCCATCTTCAGCTTCGTATGGGTATTCATCTTCGCTATTAAGACCGTGTTTAATGACGTATTCAAAAGCGGTCAGCATGTCACCACCATTACAACCTTCATTATACTCTTTGTCACAGTCAACCAATTGTTGTTCACTGAGTGGCACTGTTACGTTGTTTTTAATCGCGTTCTGTCCTTCTAATGCACCAGTCTAAAATTAATCAAAAATTAATAATTGGTGAAACACTACAGTAAGTATAAAATAGGAAAATTATTGAAATAATGGATTAAAGTTGAAGGTGGTAGCCATGTGTGAGTTATAAGTTCAAAAAGGTAAATCAAACGAGGGTGGTCCTTAGGATCTCACAAGAGATCTCTTGTGAGATCCTAAGGACCACCCTCGTTTGATTTACCTTTTTGGAAATAATGGATGTTTGTAATAAAATGTTGGTGATAATTATACATACGGTACTAAAAGCCCAGCAGGATCCGCAATATCCTTGATCCTTGACTGCCAAAACAGCTTTCCTTTCCCTCCAGTCCATAGCTTCTGGAGCAGTATCGCTCTGAACATGAGAAGTCAAGGTCATTCTGGGAATTGGACCGTTATTGCGTCTGAGCATGGCTCCAAATTCTTTGGGGGTCAAATCAGCGAATTTGTTGACTGCCATGGTGTAGGTCTCAAGTCCGGCTTCATAGCGGGCGTTGTGTGTATTTACTTTTTGAACGTTGTCTTGGAAAATTTGGAAACGGGCACGTTCTTCTTCCAGACTTGCGTACGATTTTCCATGTTTGGCCTTAAATAAAAAAGGCATCGTTAAATGTTTTATAATACATTTTTTTATAGTCGCTACGGATTGTAGGTAATACAGTGTTACTTTTATAGAGCGACGACTTTCTATACCTCATAGAGCGTTTTTTTACAGCCTTTCTGACATATCTTCTTCGAGGGATTCCCACAGACACACCAAACAGGCTTGGATCCAGACACTGGTTTCTCTCAATTAGGCTTTGAGTCCAGTCTGCTCTTCCCATTTTTGGGGTTCGCATAGGGTTACTGAAGCGCAGATGGCCTATTGTGCCACAGTTTGGATGCCCTACTTCTATCCATGCATCATAAATTTATTCATCATCTTTCATTTCACGTGGTCGATGGTTAAAAGCTAGTCGGCTATGTCCAGCCTTCACTCATCCTAGACGTGACCGTAGACATTCAAGCGTAATTGCCGCGAGAACGTGAATGCACATTAGTCTCGCGGATAGCCTCTCCGGCTTTAGAGAGAATAGGTGCATTTTGTTAATGCTGTGCTTTAAATTTTTATCGGTTTTGAAAAGTATTTCATACCATAAAAATTTTTGGTTTTTATTGAGATGTTTAATATAAATTTTTTAATTAACAATGGAAATTTTTAATTTTTTTATTGATTTTTATACAGCGTGATTTGGAAGCAAGTGGCAATATTTCAAGAACATGTCAAGGAGGCCAAAATAGGTAAAATAGGCTCATATGTTCAAGTCCGATTTTCATTTGTTTCAGAGATATTTTGATTAGTTGTAATTTGAAAGATAAACAAAAATGTATTACAAAGTACATTATAAAAATAAACAAATAACATTAATTTACAACAAATTTTCGAAAACACCATCGCGCACTTCAATACACTTATTTGTGCGTTTATAAACTGCACTAGTAGCGAGTTCTAGTGTTCAGAGTTCGCTTTAATGTTATCTGCTGCATTAAGAATGCGATCTACTAACGCTTCTCTTATTTCCGCGTCGTACCATGCAAAAAATTGATGCACTTTGACATTTAAAAAAAAGCGTTTTATTTCTGAAACAAATTAAAATTGACTTGAACATATGAGCTTATTTTGCTTATTTTGGCTCCCTCTATATGTCTTTTATATAGTGCCATTTCCTCCCGAATCTTCTATATTCGTAATTCTTTTATGTTTTCTTACAGATTTTAATTGCTTTTATAGAATTATTAGTTTGTTTTTAATTTTTTAAAATTGTCTAGGATTTTTTTTAATGTTCGTGTATGGAACTTTTGAAGTTAGAATTAATAATATTTTTTTTTTTCATTATTTTTTTGTCGTATTTTAAAATATGCAAAAAACCATTAAATTTTTGTGTATTTTTTGGAATAATGTAATCATTGTACAATTTTGGCATGTCCAATAAGATCTACAAACACTTTCACAAATAAATTGATTTGAGAACTTTAGTTTTTAATTTTTTATTTAAGCGTTTTTTGATCAAATTCATTAAAATATTAATAATTTTAATTAATTCATTCCAATTTGATTTTTTTGGATATTTGGAAATTTTTGAAACTTTTTATGTAAAGAAAATACCTTGAACGAGGTCCAGTGTTGCTGGGCCGGAAGGGCAGTAACTGCCAAAAGAGCTGCAGCGAAGATAATGAATAATTTCATTTTGATTTTTCTGGAAAATAAACAGTTCGAGATAAGAAACTACATCCTAAATTCAATGAGCAGTAACAGTGCAAGTTAAATACGAGCATTTATAAATTAATTCAAATTTTATTTTATTAAATCTGGCATATTTTGGAATCATAAATATCAGTCTAGTAACATTATGCCTATGATCTAATTAGTCTTATTGACATTTATTTTAATAAGCAGAAATTTAAAATGAAATTTTTAAATAAAGAAAGTTATATTTTTTAAGTAATAATAAAAAGACTTACCTAGATAGAACAACAAAATGAATGATACCTTATGTGTTTTTGCCAAGTATATATATATACTAAAAATCACCACTTGAATAAGAATTATAAAGAAATTATGCGGAGTAACAAACTTATCTTCATATTATCTATCACAAGGGTATAAGCAATCTGATAATAATGTTTCATCAGAATTATAACTTATGTTACAAAAAAATAGAAAAATGTACGTCCTTCAAGATTTTTTAATTATTCTCATCTTTCTTCGTGCATTATCTACAAAATAAAAAATTAAACTATACTTTTAAGGGCGATCAAAATAGATATTTTGCGTGCAAGAAATGTACTTTATGCACGTGTTAGGAAAAATATTTTCCTACAAGCCTTATGTCTAATACAACAAAAAAAATCGAATTTATTAATAATTTTTTAATTAAACTTGAAATAAAGAACTATACAACAAAAAATTACATAACAATAAAAAATAATATAAAATAAAATTATTTGTTCATAATATTTATAAATAAAGATTAATGATTAACATCATAGAAATTGATTGTAGATCTAATTACTACATTTAATGGGTGGCCTTAGGTATAGCATGATGGATACTAACAAAGTGGAAGGGCAGTTAATATTATGACTTGATAAAGCCTAATTTAACTCAGGACAGTTGACCAAATAGGATAATGAAGGTTGATTTAACTTAGAATGGCAGTTGTTTAGGTTGCTTGATAAATATTGATTTAACGCAAAAAGACGGGCAGCTGTTCATATGACTTGATGAAGGTCGACTTAATGTAAAAGGGCAGTTGTTCGTAGCTAATAACATCACTGTAGCTCTCGGCAACAGTGCTATATTTTTAGCCACCAAGTCGCTTGGACATTAGTGATTCCTGTTTCAGAATCAGCCAAGATGGTAGCCGAGGAACAACGAAAACTATGCCTTGTATACTGCTCTAGATTTTCCAATTGTACTAAGGCATACGAATTTATTTCAAAACATTGAGTACTTCATATTCCTTGTCTTTACTGCACAACAAAGGCCTGTAAGGTGTGTATGGTTTTCGCAAATTTGTATATTTATGACAGAGCCTTATTTGTTTTAGTGGATACTACAAAGATTCTTGAAGTATTGTTTTTACTATCAGTGATTTTAACGTCTATAAAATTTCCTTTATCCTATATGAGATCAATCATTATCCTGCGAAGCTCATCTTGCCTGCAAACACCTGTTAACCCAAAAATGGTACGACTTTTACTAGAAGGTAAATTTATTCAGGTGCTTCTTCCATAAATCTGGAAAATTGAGATAATGTCTGTGTCTGTGTCTGCGTCTGCGTCTGCGTCTGCGTCTGCGTCTGCGTCTGCGTCTGCGTCTGCGTCTGCGTCTGCGTCTGCGTCTGCGTCTGCGTCTGCGTCTGCGTCTGCGTCTGCGTCTGCGTCTGCGTCTGCGTCTGCGTCTGCGTCTGCGTCTGCGTCTGCGTCTGCGTCTGCGTCTGCGTCTGCGTCTGCGTCTGCGTCTGCGTCTGCGTCTGCGTCTGCGTCTGCGTCTGCGTCTGCGTCTGCGTCTGCGTCTGCGTCTGCGTCTGCGTCTGCGTCTGCGTCTGCGTCTGCGTCTGCGTCTGCGTCTGCGTCTGCGTCTGCGTCTGCGTCTGCGTCTGCGTCTGCGTCTGCGTCTGCGTCTGCGTCTGCGTCTGCGTCTGCGTCTGCGTCTGCGTCTGCGTCTGCGTCTGCGTCTGCGTCTGCGTCTGCGTCTGCGTCTGCGTCTGCGTCTGCGTCTGCGTCTGCGTCTGCGTCTGCGTCTGCGTCTGCGTCTGCGTCTGCGTCTGCGTCTGCGTCTGCGTCTGCGTCTGCGTCTGCGTCTGCGTCTGCGTCTGCGTCTGCGTCTGCGTCTGCGTCTGCGTCTGCGTCTGCGTCTGCGTCTGCGTCTGCGTCTGCGTCTGCGTCTGCGTCTGCGTCTGCGTCTGCGTCTGCGTCTGCGTCTGCGTCTGCGTCTGCGTCTGCGTCTGCGTCTGCGTCTGCGTCTGCGTCTGCGTCTGCGTCTGCGTCTGCGTCTGCGTCTGCGTCTGCGTCTGCGTCTGCGTCTGCGTCTGCGTCTGCGTCTGCGTCTGCGTCTGCGTCTGCGTCTGCGTCTGCGTCTGCGTCTGCGTCTGCGTCTGCGTCTGCGTCTGCGTCTGCGTCTGCGTCTGCGTCTGCGTCTGCGTCTGCGTCTGCGTCTGCGTCTGCGTCTGCGTCTGCGTCTGCGTCTGCGTCTGCGTCTGCGTCTGCGTCTGCGTCTGCGTCTGCGTCTGCGTCTGCGTCTGCGTCTGCGTCTGCGTCTGCGTCTGCGTCTGCGTCTGCGTCTGCGTCTGCGTCTGCGTCTGCGTCTGCGTCTGCGTCTGCGTCTGCGTCTGCGTCTGCGTCTGCGTCTGCGTCTGCGTCTGCGTCTGCGTCTGCGTCTGCGTCTGCGTCTGCGTCTGCGTCTGCGTCTGCGTCTGCGTCTGCGTCTGCGTCTGCGTCTGCGTCTGCGTCTGCGTCTGCGTCTGCGTCTGCGTCTGCGTCTGCGTCTGCGTCTGCGTCTGCGTCTGCGTCTGCGTCTGCGTCTGCGTCTGCGTCTGCGTCTGCGTCTGCGTCTGCGTCTGCGTCTGCGTCTGCGTCTGCGTCTGCGTCTGCGTCTGCGTCTGCGTCTGCGTCTGCGTCTGCTTCTGCGTCTGCGTCTGCGTCTGCGTCTGCGTCTGCGTCTGCGTCTGCGTCTGCGTCTGCGTCTGCGTCTGCGTCTGCGTCTGCGTCTGCGTCTGCGTTTGCGTATGCGTATGCGTATGCGTATGCGTCTGCGTCTGCGTCTGCGTCTAGGTCTGTGTCTGTGTTTGTGTCTGTGTCTGTGTCTGTGTCTGTGTCTGTGTCTGTGTCTGTGTCTGTGTCTGTGTCTGTGTCTGTGTCTGTGTCTGTGTCTGTGTCTGTGTCTGTGTCTGTGTCTGTGTCTGTGTCTGTGTCTGTGTCTGTGTCTGTGTCTGTGTCTGTGTCTGTGTCTGTGTCTGTGTCTGTGTCTGTGTCTGTGTCTGTGTCTGTGTCTGTGTCTGTGTCTGTGTCTGTGTCTGTGTCTGTGTCTGTGTCTGTGTCTGTGTCTGTGTCTGTGTCTGTGTCTGTGTCTGTGTCTGTGTCTGTGTCTGTGTCTGTGTCTGTGTCTGTGTCTGTGTCTGTGTCTGTGTCTGTGTCTGTGTCTGTGTCTGTGTCTGTGTCTGTGTCTGTGTCTGTGTCTGTGTCTGTGTCTGTGTCTGTGTCTGTGTCTGTGTCTGTGTCTGTGTCTGTGTCTGTGTCTGTGTCTGTGTCTGTGTCTGTGTCTGTGTCTGTGTCTGTGTCTGTGTCTGTGTCTGTGTCTGTGTCTGTGTCTGTGTCTGTGTCTGTGTCTGTGTCTGTGTCTGTGTCTGTGTCTGTGTCTGTGTCTGTGTCTGTGTCTGTGTCTGTGTCTGTGTCTGTGTCTGTGTCTGTGTCTGTGTCTGTGTCTGTGTCTGTGTCTGTGTCTGTGTCTGTGTCTGTGTCTGTGTCTGTGTCTGTGTCTGTGTCTGTGTCTGTGTCTGTGTCTGTGTCTGTGTCTGTGTCTGTGTCTGTGTCTGTGTCTGTGTCTGTGTCTGTGTCTGTGTCTGTGTCTGTGTCTGTGTCTGTGTCTGTGTCTGTGTCTGTGTCTGTGTCTGTGTCTGTGTCTGTGTCTGTGTCTGTGTCTGTGTCTGTGTCTGTGTCTGTGTCTGTGTCTGTGTCTGTGTCTGTGTCTGTGTCTGTGTCTGTGTCTGTGTCTGTGTCTGTGTCTGTGTCTGTGTCTGTGTCTGTGTCTGTGTCTGTGTCTGTGTCTGTGTCTGTGTCTGTGTCTGTGTCTGTGTCTGTGTCTGTGTCTGTGTCTGTGTCTGTGTCTGTGTCTGTGTCTGTGTCTGTGTCTGTGTCTGTGTCTGTGTCTGTGTCTGTGTCTGTGTCTGTGTCTGTGTCTGTGTCTGTGTCTGTGTCTGTGTCTGTGTCTGTGTCTGTGTCTGTGTCTGTGTCTGTGTCTGTGTCTGTGTCTGTGTCTGTGTCTGTGTCTGTGTCTGTGTCTGTGTCTGTGTCTGTGTCTGTGTCTGTGTCTGTGTCTGTGTCTGTGTCTGTGTCTGTGTCTGTGTCTGTGTCTGTGTCTGTGTCTGTGTCTGTGTCTGTGTCTGTGTCTGTGTCTGTGTCTGTGTCTGTGTCTGTGTCTGTGTCTGTGTCTGTGTCTGTGTCTGTGTCTGTGTCTGTGTCTGTGTCTGTGTCTGTGTCTGTGTCTGTGTCTGTGTCTGTGTCTGTGTCTGTGTCTGTGTCTGTGTCTGTGTCTGTGTCTGTGTCTGTGTCTGTGTCTGTGTCTGTGTCTGTGTCTGTGTCTGTGTCTGTGTCTGTGTCTGTGTCTGTGTCTGTGTCTGTGTCTGTGTCTGTGTCTGTGTCTGTGTCTGTGTCTGTGTCTGTGTCTGTGTCTGTGTCTGTGTCTGTGTCTGTGTCTGTGTCTGTGTCTGTGTCTGTGTCTGTGTCTGTGTCTGTGTCTGTGTCTGTGTCTGTGTCTGTGTCTGTGTCTGTGTCTGTGTCTGTGTCTGTGTCTGTGTCTGTGTCTGTGTCTGTGTCTGTGTCTGTGTCTGTGTCTGTGTCTGTGTCTGTGTCTGTGTCTGTGTCTGTGTCTGTGTCTGTGTCTGTGTCTGTGTCTGTGTCTGTGTCTGTGTCTGTGTCTGTGTCTGTGTCTGTGTCTGTGTCTGTGTCTGTGTCTGTGTCTGTGTCTGTGTCTGTGTCTGTGTCTGTGTCTGTGTCTGTGTCTGTGTCTGTGTCTGTGTCTGTGTCTGTGTCTGTGTCTGTGTCTGTGTCTGTGTCTGTGTCTGTGTCTGTGTCTGTGTCTGTGTCTGTGTCTGTGTCTGTGTCTGTGTCTGTGTCTGTGTCTGTGTCTGTGTCTGTGTCTGTGTCTGTGTCTGTGTCTGTGTCTGTGTCTGTGTCTGTGTCTGTGTCTGTGTCTGTGTCTGTGTCTGTGTCTGTGTCTGTGTCTGTGTCTGTGTCTGTGTCTGTGTCTGTGTCTGTGTCTGTGTCTGTGTCTGTGTCTGTGTCTGTGTCTGTGTCTGTGTCTGTGTCTGTGTCTGTGTCTGTGTCTGTGTCTGTGTCTGTGTCTGTGTCTGTGTCTGTGTCTGTGTCTGTGTCTGTGTCTGTGTCTGTGTCTGTGTCTGTGTCTGTGTCTGTGTCTGTGTCTGTGTCTGTGTCTGTGTCTGTGTCTGTGTCTGTGTCTGTGTCTGTGTCTGTGTCTGTGTCTGTGTCTGTGTCTG